GGAGAGAAATGTTGACTCCATTTCTAGATTACCTGTATCAGAACTGCGAACAGCTGTTATCATCGATGCCATGGCATTGATTCAAATGGTTAAGTCAGCAGGAGCAGCAACGTTTGAGGAGATGGCAGGTAAATACTTCGACATTATAACTCGGGTATTAAGTCAGAACAACTGTAGCTGCTTAGACCTCGTATTTGACCAGTACCGTGCCATGTCTATCAAAGCAGCAGAGCGCCAAGAAAGAGGAGAAAGTTTGTCCATGGAGATTAAGATTCACAATCAAAATACGCCAGTTCCCAAGCAGTGGAATAAATTCATGTCAAATCCAAAGAATAAGCAGAATTTAGCTACATTCTTATGTGAGTCTCTACGTACCATTTTGAAGACACAATTGCACCCACGGCAGAATGTTTTCATAGCAGGAGGATTCAAAGATGGCAGAGAAACGGTTTCGTGTATCCGCGGAAATTCATCCAGTGTTTCATCTTTGTTTTCCGACCAGGACGAAGCAGACACAAGACTTCTACTGCACGCCAAACATGCTTCAAACACTCGTCAAAGAGGTGTTGTTCAGTCCCCTGATACAGCTGTAGCGGTGTTATGTGTTGCTCATTTTCAGAATATCGGATGCCGTGAGCTATGGTTCCAGACAGGACTAAAAGACAAAGTGAGATTCATTCCAATTCATTCATTCATTACAATCCTCCCTTGGTCTTTTGCTCTTGAAAGCCTTGCCAGCATAGCATGCATGGACAGGATGCGATACAACAAGTGCTTTTTCAGGTACTACTGCCAAAAAATTGCTAAAACTGATGATGCACGGCATTTCCTTTTCTGTCGGAAGAACAAGACAAGCGACAATCTGCCTCCCAAATCTGACAGTCTATCACATCACATTAAAAGAGCCAACTTCCAGACATATATCTGGAAGACAGCTCTTTGTCCAATGCAGAACCTTCCTTCACCGGACGGACTTGGGTGGAAATTGGAAGATGATGTACTATTGCCAGTCCTTATGACGAAAAATTCGGCGCCAGAAGGAATTGCGGAGTTAACAACCTGTGGCTGTGAGAAGTCGAAATGTTTACGCAATTGTTCATGCAAGTCAAGCAACCTTCCTTGTACAGAAGCATGTGCGTGCATGGCTGATCATGAAAGCTGTTCAAACCCCGTTAATGATGTTGTCGACTCCAGTGTTCTAAAGAGTGAAAATGACGATCCTGACATTTAAAATTTTCTTGGCTATTTTGATGAAGATGGACTGAACTGTCTTTAAGCATATTTAAGTTTTCTGAACAATAACGTTGGTACGTTACTATTACCCTCCTTGTTATTCTGTTAGAGATTGCGATCTAACCGTTATATACTTCATATAGGGTGGCTGAACCTTTATATTAACAATATTTTATCATTTTCTAATTTGAATTGGATTTTTATTCGTCTTAGCATGTTAAAATGGCTTGATAAATATATTTTGAGGGTTATTTTTTGTGAAAGGATGCGTTTTCAAGGGTTTTTCCAGCAAATTCAGACCAAAAATCCGTATTTTTTAGATCACATGATTTGTCAAGTGACACAATGATTACTTGCTCACATTTGTTCGAAAGCCCCGTGAAAGCGCATTCATGCGAGAGCTTTTTCGTGAGATTTGGTTAAAAGCCAACCAATCTATGGGCCTCGCGGTACGTAGCCTCGCTCTGATGTTATTCCGCCATATTGGGGCTAAAAAACCCCAATATCTCGACACCTATACCACAAATTGATAGTACAAAGTATCTCATGTTAAAAAGCATATATTGTTCTATAAGAATGAAGTGTCAAACCTTTTCTGTAAGGTGGGTTGTGCAATGCATCATTTATTGGGATTCAGCTCTTAGACTATTACAACAGATTCAAGTGTTTTCAAGTTTTTATTAGCATATAGTAGATTGGTATCATCCGCAAAAAGAAAACAAAAACGTTTGACTCAGAAATATCGTTTATGTATATTAAGAAAAGTAGAGGCCTGAGGACTGATCTTCGAGGTACTCTACACAAAGTGGTTTCTCTATCAGATACACAGTTTCCAATCAGAGTTCATTGAGAGCGGTGTTTTAAGTAAAATGTTAAATTAATTATTGTTTAATTATTATTTTGTGTTTTTTTTAGGAAGAGATCCAGTCATTTACTACTCCCCTAATACCGTAATGACTGAATTTACCCAACAGTGTTTTGAACAGTTGACATTTTTATTACGTTTTTTATTAATTAAAGTTCCATTAAGTTAATTATTATGTCATTGACGCACGTTATGTAATTTAAGACGAGACATTCTCAAGTCGAGATATAGAAAAGCTAAAATGAGTTGTGCTTTTAAACAGAGCAAGTAAAACGATTGTATAGAGAGTTCGAGCGTGAGTAGATCCACCCTTCAGGTACTATTTTATAGTTTCGTGAACAGTCTTCAGTGTTATTTGCTTTATTAGCTATCTTTACAGTCGATTTTAGCGAACATTTTATTATTATATCTTTGTTATTGTAAAAATATGATCGGAATGTGCATGTTATATCTTTGTAAATTTGTGATTTTTAGAAATAAATTAAAAGGAAATCTCCTTGCGTGTCGCAGTTTGTCTCCCTGGCATGCGTCCTTACCAACTTCTGAAGGAATAAAACAGTTTAGTGCCGATTTAGCAGGCAAATAAAGGAACAGATAATAGAGTGTTTATATATTTGGCAAGCACAATGCCCGAGGGAGAATCAACGAAGCTTCGATAATAGATAATAGTTCAAACGAAACCACGTTGAAAAAGAGAGAGAAAGAGAGAAAGAAATCGAGCAATTACAAAAGGAGAAAGAATTTTTTGAGAAAGAAATCGAGCAATTACAAAAGGACTTTGAAGTAGCGTGTGAGTTACACAGCCAGTTTTACGATTTACCCAAGTAGATGTTAGTTGCTGCTGAAGGCAGCACACTATTCTTAACATGAAGTATCGCGTTTACTTGTGCCCAGTCTCTTTGCCCGAGTTATGTATTGTCAAGGTCTCGATTTTGTGTCTGTCGGATGTCCGTCGTAATTCCGGGGAAATAATTAAGGCTTCAGGAAGTTTTTTAAACGAGGGGGGCGGTCAAACTTTTATATTTTGTATTGAAGTATTGAACACGATCAAGCATCAAGTTCTAGCTTTCAATATATCAATATCAGCAGAATATCAACAGTATTAAAGCTAAGTATTAAAGCTACGTAGTAAATCTGATTGGTCTATGAGAAAAAAGAATTTTTAAATTTGTCGTTTGATTGGTTGGTGCTAATTAGATATTTATACTATTGTTGATGATATATTTTATAGTGAGCACAACTATAATTAGATTGTTGTTGTCGTTGTGTGAAATTTAAATTTCTCCTGCAACATTTTGATTGGATACTAAATATAAACTTTGCTGTGGGTGGAAAGCTATCACATTAATGTTTGTGTCAGGCTATATTTGTAAAATAGAGCCTGATCTCTGGTTAGTGGCGAGCTAGTCATGGCAACTGGTCATGCTATGCCTATGCTGATAAACATGCATCTATTTGAATGAAGCAAATCATTAAAAACTTGCATAGCATGACCTGTTGCTATGACTATTTTCACCACTGACAGCATTATAATTATACATACAAAAGCAAGAAGTTATAAGCATTGAAGGTATTCATGCAAAACCGCCCATGCCAAAAAATTAGAATTCCTGCCCCCTGAACGCCTTAGGGGCTGTTTACATAATGGAAGGTGGGATGTTTTTGTTGTATTGAAATAAGTCACTGGGCTAAACAAAAGTTTAAATGCTGGTTAACCGAACTCAAATGTTGTAGAGAAGATCTTGTGTTCAAGAAGATTATTATTGGTGCTTGAAAAAACCTTTCGTTTACAAAATGTTTAGGAATGAACTTTCCCTGAGCCTCATGTTAATAGTATATTTTTTGTTCAATATATAGACCACAGTAAGACTTTTTTAAAATGTGTTTATTACATTAACAAACGACGTTTCGGAGATTTACTCCATCTTCAGGTAGTTAATAGGATTAAAAAAGTCTTACTGTGGTCTATATATTGAACACAAAATATACTTTCGTTTACAGTTAACTACAAACTATCTCTAGAAAATAATGAAGTTTTTGTTGAATCGTACACCATTACTTCTTTCAATACATCAAATTCATCCACCTCATAGCTTGTCCTGGCAAAGCGGGCCGGATCTTATAAACAGCCCCTTATTCAGCAAATTGTGCATGCTGCCTTTGATCCCTTGGGGGTGAGGCAGCACTTTCCTTGCGATAGTAACTTCTAGTATATTAGATAAGTGGGAAGACGACTTGACGAGTGACGTGTATGGGATCGAAGAAAGAGTCGAAGAATATATTTGAGGTATTTTGAAATCAAATGGCCAAGCATCTGGAGAAAAAAAGGCAACTTCCCCGCAGAGCGCGTCAGTAAATCAACTTCCGGAAGAGCCTCAAACGTCATCGCAAGTGTCAACACCGGAAGCTAATACCTCTACATTACAGCAAGAAGAAATTCAAGAGATTCCGTCGCCTACAAGCAATGTGAACAGTACCGTAGAAACAAAAATTGATCCAATAACTTTTGACAAACCCCACCTCACCGATGATATGAGAATGATCCAGTGGTGATGCGGAAAGAGGAATTTCGGGATTAGGTTCGAAAGGAGTAATGTATGCAACCGCCTTGAAGATTATCAAAGACCCAACCAAGATCAGATGATCACAACCAAGCGTAATAGCCTGTGCGTTAGTGAACAACGTCACCAAAGGAGAGAAAATCGGTAGAAGTGACAGGAAGAAATTGCGAGAGTTCTCGATCGACCTTATCAATTGCATTGCCACGATGAAATGCATTGGATATACAGCAGATATCAACGCCAACGAGAATTTACGAAAGATCATCACACGCTTACCAGACCACATGATTGAAAGGTGGAAAGTCTTCTTGGCAGACATTCGTGAGAAAGGTCAGACACCTACAGTCAGCCATATAAGTGAATACGTGAGAAAGAGAGTAAAGGCAGAGTTTGATCGTGATTTCGGCAACCTACAAAGAGATTCGAGACCCCCAAGAAATAATCATGCGAAGAAGAGCACCGTGTCATTGAATGCCCAGTATTAGCGAAAGCCTCAGTTCCTGAAAGACTAGAACTAGCAAAGAAAGCAAGACTGTGTTTTTCGTGTTTGAATCGTGGATACTCCAAGAATGATTGTCGGTCGAAGAAGAAATGTGAAAAGAGCGATTCATGTCCTTACTTTCATCATCCTCTTTTACATTCCAGTCCACCACCAGTTGCCTCAATTCTAGATAAACCCAGCATGATGCCCGTAATCAGAGCCAGATTCAGAGCCCCCAACGGTCGAGTTTGTGAAGGGAACGTGTTGATTGACAGTAGCGCTGGAACGACAGTTATTCGGAAGCATTTTGGGAAAGATCTCGGATTGAATGGGAAAAGATAACGGATTGATTTAGCAGTAGTTGGAGGAGAGAAATTATAGCAACCACACAGCTGACATGTGAACTTTTGGATCTCTGCACTCAAAGGCGATCAAGAGTTCAAGATCGAAGCCCACGAGATTGAGAAAATTATTCTCAACGTGCCTCAAAGACATTGAGTTTAATCACGTATCGGGTTCAATTGATCTTATACTTGGAGTCCATTATACCCACCTTCACTCGGAAGAAGAGATACGTCGTGGAGAAGAATGCCAACCAGTGGCCAAGAAAACCAAACTTGGTTGGTACGTGATAGGAGTGAATGAGGAGAAAAGAAGCCCAGAACTTTGTTCGATTTACTTTGTGCGAAAGATCGACATGGAGAGGTTCTATCAGTTTGAGACCCTGGGAGTGCAAGCAGTCAATTATCCGTGTCCTAAGTCAGCCCTCTCTCTCGATGAGAAACGAGCCATGGAGCTTATGGAACGATCATGTAAGCTTGATGACAACCGTTATGTAATCGGTCTTCCATGGAACAGAGACAAGAACTTGCTGCCTGATAACCGTTCCCTAGCAGAAACACGACTTCGATCCCTAGAAAAGAGCCTCAGCAAGAATGACCAAAAAGCGAAAATGTATGATCAAGCGTTAATGCAATACGCAGAAAACAACTGGGCAATACCCCTCAGTGAAGAAGATCTTAAGGTTGATAGGAAACCAGTCTACTACCTACCACATCATGGAGTCTATCGTCCAGACAAGAAGAGTACCCTGTTATGAGTGGTCTTTGACCCAGCGACTCCCTACCATGACATGTCTTTGAATTCCTTCCTTTTCAAAGGTCCTGGTCTGATTGGCAACCTGCTCAGAGTGCTTCTACGTTTCCGTGAAGAACAAGTTGCTTTTAGTGGAGACATATCCAAGATGTTCCTTCAGATCCTACTGCCGGAAGAAGATACCCATGTCCACCGTTTCCTTTGGCGAAACCTTGATGCGGCAAGAGAGCCAACGACATACACCCTCCAAAGAGTCATGATCGGAGATAAGCCCTCTCCCGACATGGAAAGCTTTTTGTCATGTTGAAAATGGCAGAAGCAAACGTTTCTCGAATGTCCTGGAGCTGCTACGATCCTGAAGCGTGATAGATACATAGACGATCTAATTAATTTGTGTCCAAGTACGAACGAAGCAATAAAGAGCATTAAAGAAGTGGATAAAGTTTTGTCAACCGGAAGCTTCAAAATTAAAAAAATGTTTATGTTCCTCTACAGTCGAGAAGGCAAATGAAAGTGAGCAGCCAAAAGAAGCAGATGGTAGCGAGAGTGATCCACACCCTGTCACACCAATTGTGAATTTGGACGGCAAAGAAGAGAACAAAACGCTCAGTGTAATATGGAATCCGACGAGATACGTAATAGGGTTTGCTTCGAAAGAAGTAAAAGTCGAAAGACTGACAAAGAGATCCGTCCTTTCAAATATCTCGAAGCTCTACGACCCACTTGGTTTAGCATCTGCAGTAAAGATAAAGGCGAAAATAGCCTTACAGAATATTTGGAAAGCAAAGCAATTTGATTGGGATGACCCTCTTCCCGAAGTTATGAGCAACACTTGGAAGAAATTGTTCACAGAAATCGAAAGTCTCAAGAAAGTAGAGTTTCCGAGATGTCTTCAACCGAACGAAGTATCTGGTCCGTCCGAGTTAGACGTCTTCGCTGATGCAAGCAAAGATGCTTATGGTGCCGTAGCGTATTTGGTTTGGACGACCCCTCATGGTTTCCATGTTAGCCTTGTGTCTGTGAATGCAAGAGTGGCCCCACTACGACACACTGCCATCCCGAGACTGGAGTTGATGGCTGCACTATCGCATCTAGACTCGCTCACACCATTGTTGAAGAATCCAAGTTAAAACCCTCGAGCGTCACATTTTGGTCAGATTCTACCATAGTACTCAGTTAGTTATGTTGGGAATTGACTTCATTCAAGCCGTTCGTTGGTGTTCGAGAGGCCGAGATCCAAGAGAGTTGGAGTCAAAGTTCATGGCGATACGTCCCATCCAAAGAAAATCCAGCTGATGACTTAAGTCACAGTATTACGGTAGAAGAATTGAGTTGAGGTCGTTGGATTAACGGTCCATCCTTTCTCTCGAAGCCAAAGACCGCGTGGCCATGTGAAAGAACAACAGAACCCAACATTCGAAGTGAAGATCCCGAGAAGAAAAAGTCTCCAAACTCTTTGGCAGCAATTGTGAAACCCCAACCTCTATTAAATCCAGAGCATTTCTGAGATTGGGACAGATTAGTAAGAGTGACTGCTTATTGTCAACGTTTTGCTAAAAACATGAAGTATACAATACAAGATCCCATCAAAGATCACAAAGGGAGAACTACAACCAGAAGAATGCAAAGAAGCTGAAGATTACTGGATTCAAGAAGCCCAGAGCGAATTGAAAGCTGCAGATTATCCAAACCTATCCCCCTTCGTCGAAGATGGATTAATCCGAGTCGGCAGTCGATTGAGTAAGTCTTATTTACCCTTCGAGCAAGTTAACCCAGTCCTTCCAAAGAAGAATGTGATTTTTAGAATTAAATTAAAAGGAAATCTCCTTGCGTGTTGCCGTTTGTCTCCCTGGCATGCGTCCTTACCAAACAGTATATCATGGTCTACCATATCAAAGGCTTTCTTCAAGTCTATAAATATACCACAGGAATAAAGTTTATTATCCATGTTAGTTTGGATTTATTATCAATGTTGAGAATGGCATGCTGTTCTTGACAGAAACCATATTGTGAGGGACACAAGATATTTTTCACATTTAGGTATTTGTCTAAATGTTTGTACATGATCTTTTCAAAAATTTTATTAAATACCGATAAAAGGGATATGAGTTGGTAATTATTCGGTTCAGTTTCATCCTCCATTTTGTAAATTGGAATTATTTTAGCAATTTTGAGTTTATTAGGATAAATTCCAGTTTCAATCAACCGATTAAGAATATCTGCCAAAGGTTTATTTATTATTATTATTATTATTATTATTATTATTGATACATGATACATGAAGAAGGCCATATAAAGCCTTAATTGCCATGCATTTACATTAAAAATTTAAGACGAAATATTCACAGTTACATTATACATTATGTAAAATATTCTTTATAGAAATACCTTATATAAAGTGAAATATGAGTTGTTAGATAATTAAAAAATATATATAATTAAACTATCAAGGTTTGTAAAACCTGGTAAAACTAAGATCTCGTTAAACTACTATTATAACAATTTATAGCGTACACCAAAGGACTGTTCTTAAATCTCTCTGTTCGAAACTTAAAGTTATAATAATACATATTGGGATTAGATCTGGTTTCTCTTTGTCTTGTATCCCTAACACGATCTGGAAGTAAGTTGTGTATACGGTGCTCGGGTTTGATGTGTTTTGCACATTTAATAATCCTCAAAGGGCATGAGTATAGACCCTCAGCTTTTTTGGTTGGTAGTGTGATAATTTCAAGTTCAATATCTCTTTTGATTTTTATTTGCCCAAATAAAGCTAAATATATTTACAATGTATATTTGTACAAACATTAAAGATGATGTCCACTCGTGTACGCATGCACGAACTTTGTTTACGTTTTGAACTGCTATATTTGTAAAATATGATATACTAACTGAATATCTAACACTTTTCTGGGTTCGCCATGCATGTAAATGAATATAAACTCTACGTTTCAATTCAAAAAAGTTCGAAAGATGCAAAATTTGGGTAATGTTTATATCTGGGGGTCCCCCTTTGTTATGAGCAGAACTGATGTGCAGAACGGAGTGGACGTCATCTTTAAGGGCTGGGAACCTTTATGAAACCCTATCAGGCTTTTATTCAAAGGCCCCTAGTTTAACAATATCACTAGAAAATACATGCATGCAGAAACCCTCGCCTTCCTGACAAAACCATTGTATTTTCCGAACATGAAGTATCTAAAGTTGTTGTCATGGTAACACGATAATTTTTTAAGTATATTCTTACAAATGAAAAATTGCCTAAAAATATCACTTTTAATTACAAAATTATCAATTTCCCAACATATATATGTTAGGTATGTTATTATACCTAATATAAGCTTCAATTTAAGGTAAAATTCAACCACATTTTAAAGTGTTCTTTATAAAACTAAACTGCCTTTAATAATTAAATGGCTTTATCGATAAACTTTGAGTTTGCAATAAAATGAATTCAAATTCTCGCATGCAAATAACTTTGCTTTCTTTTTTATTTAAAAAAATCAATATAATAAAAAAGGGAATCAATATTATAAATAATACACTGAAATTATATGCTATCTTGTTTAGTTGTTTCATATATGCAATGGCCATCGGGTTTTAAAGCAATTAATAATTATAAAATCAATATTTAAAACAAACTTACCTTCGTTAACGTCAGCTCCCTTCTTTTAGCCGATTCTTTCGGCCTTTCTTTCGGCCTTTCTTTCTGGAAATTTACAAAATCTTGCAAAAATGCAAGCAAAAATGAAATATATTTGCAAGAAATTTATGAATCATCAAATCAAGAAATGTTTGCTATTTCTCTGTTGTCATGCAGTCGTTATAATGCAAACTTTAAATTGGACCAATCACAGTGTTTGCTATTCATGACAGTCCGCCATATTTTTTAGATCAGTGACGATACCACCCACGCACAGTGAGCCACACCCGCGATCATTGGTGAACTTTAGACTTCGCTAATGCTTTTGTTTCCCTGGGTGTAAATAGCCGAGGGGAATTAGTACCCTCCTAAAAATTTGACAGCAGTAACCTGATGTATAATGTTATTGTTAAGTTGAATATAAATATCAGTGTCACATTTATTTTTTTATTTAAAAATGACGTACTTAGTTTTTTAGTATTTATTGATAATTTATTGATAATTCCCTAACAAAAAAAGTCTATAGGCCTGGCCTATAGGCCAACCTATAGGTTTCTATAGGCAATTGGAACATTTTCTATACGTGACCTATAGGGATGCCTATAAGCCTATAGATCTCTATAGGTGCCTAAAGGCTTCTATAGGGAATTGGAACATTTCCTATAGGAACCTATAGGCCACCTATAGACTTTTTTCATCAGGGTTAGTCACTTCATTAATTTCTTTTTGCATAACATGCATTAAAGATTTCAGGCATTTGTCAGTAAAACGTGTTAGTGTCATCAGCATACATAACAAAAGAAATTATTTCACTGCAGTTCTCAATGTCGTTAATATATAACAGAAAAAGTGGAGGCCCAAGAATCGAGCCTTGCGGAACTCCTGAAGATATGGTTGTTTTACTTTACTTATGATCACAAAACTTAAGAATTTGCGTTCTTTCATGTAAGTAGTTTTCAAATAATTTTAAACAATTTCCTCTTATACCATAATGTTCTAGTATTTTTAGAAGAATTTCATGGTTAACTGTGTCAAAAAAGCCTTAGATCAAGGAAAATAACGATTGTGTATTTTCCTTCATCTATGGCCTTTGAGATTTTGTCAGTCAATTCAATAATAGCATGTTCAGTGGAGCGATCTTTCCTGAAATCATGCTGGTGTTTAGATAAAATGTTTTGTTTTTCAATATATCAAATCAGTCTTCTGTACATTACTTTTTCAAGCAATTTCGAAAAACATGTGAGAACTGAAATTGGCCTATAATTTTCAAATAGACATTTTTCATTTGCTTTAAAAATAGGAGTAACAAGAGCTATTTTTAGTGTATTCAGTATTAATCCAGTGTCAAAATTTAAATTGAAAATATGTGCAAGAGGTTTGCAAATCTCTTGTTTTATTGCTTTTACCATTTTGGTACTGATATTATCATGACCTGCACTTTTAGTGACATTTAAGTTATCAATCTCAGTCAAGATTTCATATTCCATAACAGGTTCAGTAAACATACTTTCTCAATAGTTACCTTTGAGATAATTTTCAAATGGTATTGTGTCATTTTGTTGAATACCTTTGGCTAGGAATATTCGGTCCAACGTTTACAAAATATTCGTTGAATTTGTTTGCAATCTCAATTGGGTCAGAATAATTAACATTTGAGTTCTTTTCTCGAAATGTATCAGGAAGCCCTTCCTTCTTTTTATTGTTTCGATTTAATATTCGATTAATGGTCTGCCATGTCATTTTGCCATTGTTTTTGTATTTAATAAACTGACTCTCAAAATAATCTTTTTTAGTTATTTTAATTAAATGTTTTAATTTATTTTTGTATTTTTTATATGTGGTTTTGCTCTTAACACTTGGGTTTTTGAGATATTTTTATAAAGTTCGTTTTTAATTTCTATAGATTTAGAAATACCTTGAGTCATCCAGGGACTTTTGTCATAGTCAACAGTTCGTTTTTGTCTGTTTACCAAAGGAAAGCTCTTTTCAAGCGCTTCTGTTAGTTTATTATGAAATATGTTGTATGCTTTGCAACGGTCATTGTCTTCAATAATGTTATCCCATGACATCAGTTTCATGGCATTTGAAAATTATAAAAGATTGCTATTGTTTATTATTCTTCGATGTTGCGAAGTTTTGCCTTCAGAATTATTTATTTTCCTTGCTAAAGATGTAATATGAAAAATAGGAAGATGATCCGAAATATCAGTAAAAATAATCCATTCTTACTGCTTTCAATTTGTTCAACGTCATTGGTGAATATATTGTTAATTAATGTTGCGGTGTGTTCCATTATCCTCGTAGGCCTAGTTATACGCGGAAGAAATGACGACGTAAAAAGTTGCTCACTGAATCTGTCCAAAATGTCACAACTTTCAGTTTTTAACAGGTCTATGTTAAAATCCCCCATTAAGTAAGTTTTTTTTTACTTGTCTATTTTGTAAGAATTTTACTTATACTAGTTAAAAATATTTCAAATTTTCGGTTCGGCAGTCTATAGATCATGCCAACAATTATATTCTTGCCAACTGTTGTTACTATTTTAACGAAGAGTGACTCAATTACTCCTTCATTATTGTTAAGGTCAGGATGAGGTTTGAAGTTTAAATCATCTGAAATATACATTCCAACTCTTCCGCCTTTTTTATTGTCTCTGTTAAACAAAGTTAAAATCTGTACAGTTTTCATTATCAAGCCAAGTTTCAGTTAAACTGATTATTGAAAATGAGTGTTTTAGTGATTCTAACAGAATCCTAAAAGAGTCGAGTTTATTCACTATACTTCTTATGTTTAGATTCAAAATAGAAAAGAGTTTGTTATTTGATATATTAGAATGTTAGGGTTTGTAATCCAAGTGATTATATACATTTTAAGACCTGACCAGGAACGACTGCGAAAATGCAGCAGAAGGTCCTCTGGTAGGAATTGAACCTACGGCCCTGCGATTCCGGTGCAGTGCTCTAACCAACTGAGCTACAGAGGCCAGCTGTTGAGCTGTAACCATAAGTTCATGTATATTATAGGTAATCGGTGTGCGGGTTGTGATAAGGTGGACTTGAATGATGTGGTTTCTTGCACTTCACTTGGTGGAATTATTATTAGAAGGTTAGGGTTTGTAATCCAAGTGATTATATACATTTTAAGACCCAACCAGGAACGACTGCGAAAAATGCAGCACAAGGTCCTCTGGCAGGAATTGAACCTACGGCCCTGCGATTCCGGTGCAGCGCTCTAACCAACTGAGCTACAGAGAGCCAGCTGTTGAGCTGTAACCGTAAGTTCATGTATATATATAGGTAATCGGGTGTGCGGGTTGTGATAAGGTGGACTTGAATGATGAGATTTCTTGCACTTCACTTGGTGGAATTAATATTAGAATGTTAGGGTTTGTAATCCAAGTGATTATATACATTTTAAGACCTGACCAGGAACGACTGCGAAAAATGCAGCACAAGGTCCTCTGGTAGGAATTGAACCTATGGCCCTGCGATTCCAGTGCAGCGCTCTAACCAAACATTCTAATATTAATTCCACCAAGTGAAGTGCAAGAAACATTCTAACATTCTAATATTAATTCCACCAAGTGAAGTGCAAGAAACCACATCATTCAAGTCCACCTTATCACAACCCGCACACCCGATTACCTATATATACATGAACTTACGGTTACAGCTCAACAGCTGGCCTCTGTAGCTCAGTTGGTTAGAGCACTGCACCGGAATCGCAGGGCTGTAGGTTCAATTCCTACCAGAGGACCTTGTGCTGCATTTTTCGCACTCGTTCCTGGTCAGGTCTTAAAATGTATATAATCACTTGTTATTTGATATGTCTCGCGAGACATCTTTTGGAAGATAGTATTTGCATGAGATGTTATCAATATTACTAAGCATTTTATTGTCGCTATCATTATTTCCTGTTCTATTTCCGGTAGTTGTGTGTTGCATGTCAAAAGGGGGTTGAATTTAAGTTGCATTAATCTATCCATATCCCTCTCGCTGGGAAGTCGGGAAAAATCTCCAAAAGTAAAATTAAAATCAAGTTCACTTATTGAGCTAAAAGGCAAAGCATCCAGGTTATGCACAAGTGATATGTTTCAATTTCAGTCTGTTGACATGTGCAAGGTGATTCAATGCAAGCGTTCCTGGCATGGAACCACCTCCCACACGCCAGGGTTTTCAGTTTTGTGTGAGGCTCTGGCCTATGGCAATGAAGCTATGGCGAAAGGACCTGAGTTAAGTTTCACAATCAATTCGTGCACATGGATTATATATTTATGTAAAAGCTCTGGCGAATTTGGGTGGGGCTGAATAAAAAAGTCTGGCGAAATTTGCCGTTTGCCGGCCTAAACTGAAAACCCTGACACGCCACACAAACAATGCCGCTTTTATCAATGACTATTTCATGAAGACATGTTGAGGATAATTTTTTCTCTATGTTTATAGAAGCCAATATTAATCTAGAATAGATATAAAATGTTAATATTTTTAACACAATACCCTTTTAACTGTTATCAAGAATAAATTCCACATTGTTGATAAAAAGTTTGTCACGCACTAAACGTTCTCTTTGTTTTTTTCCGCTTTTGCTTTTCTCATCTCGGGGTATAATTTCTGTCGCAATTTCTCTATTTCTTCTGGAAACTGTTCGGAGATCCCAATCCTTGTTCGCTTCAGTTTCCTGGCGTTTCGGCAGATTTTCTTTCAATCTGGGAAAAAATTAAATTTGGTGACGATAGCTCTTGGCTTCCTGCGACTATATCGTTTTCTGCCAACTCTATGCACTCTGTCGATTTTAATAGTTTGATGCGCGTCTCACATATCCAGCTTCTCCTCTAGTAAGCTATAGATTACCTCGCCAATAGTGCAATTTTCTTCATCGGATTCCTCGATATTGTGGAACAGTAGGTTGTCCCGCATTGATCTTGGTTTAAGATCAACCACAGTTTCTTGAAGCCTCTTGTTTGATTCTTCGAATTTACCAATCCTTGTCACATTTTTGCTTCCGTCCTTTTTCTCTGCTTCATCTCCTCCTTGAGATCAGCGACTTCTGTGTGAGCAAACTCAATGGACTTAGTCAGGCTCTTCACGTTTTGCTCGACAGATAAAATGCGCTCGTTGATCAAGTCAAGCATCTCCAATTTTGCCATGACAGATTTCATCATGGTGTATAACTCATCAATTTTGCTTATTTCTTCGGGATTTTCAGATGTCATTGCTTTCTTAGATGTCTTGGGTATCTTATTTTCTGAATTTCTTACTTTGTTAGGCGTATTTTGGGCAGATTTAGCAAATTCTTGCATGCTGCCTCTCGAAGGTTGTTGTCTCTTTGACATGATATATACTCTTTCAGTTATCGGAATGAAAACAAATTAATCTAGTTGAGATGTGTAGTTAAGGCTGTTTGTTTGTTGAAGATAATCAGAATGTTTTTCAGAATGTGGCATTTTGGCAGCTGGTCGTTGTCCACATGTAGCAAAATGTTTATTCAAGATATTAGATATATTTTTAGGATCAAATGTTAATCTTAGTATGCTGTCGGAAGTAGGATGATGTCGCATGGCACCAATATTATTTTTGCTATTGCTGCAAAGTCCCAAAATTTCCCTTATTCCTTCCCATTTCTTACTCATATTTGTGTAATTCAAGTTGAAGTATTTTTCATAATATAATTTTTGCTGATGCAGAGTAAAGTAACAATATAGTTTCTATATATTTTATACAGAGTTAAATTATTTGTGTGAAATAACTTATTTTTTAACTTTAATGGATGCCCCCCTTATTCCTCTAGTTACCCATGGCTTGGATAATTGTTTGGCTTTACGCCTAGAAATGGTCTTGATAAGAGCATGTTTATTTATTAATTTATTTACTTTATTAAAAAAAGTCGAAGTTCACAATATTTACGTATCTAAAGTATCGGAGAATGATGAATAGTCACGATATTTACATTTTTGGATGTTTAGTCTGACGGTAATAGAATCTAGGATACAAAATTGTGAAAAATAATCACTTACATCAGATATTATGTTTCCACTAACTAACTTAATTAACTCTGCATCATTGAAAACTTGGGAATCCTCCTTGGTAAAGAAAAAACATAATAGACTATCCTTACAATTGTTGAAAAATAGCCGGCCATGTAAATTCACTCGACCAGCAAAAAAAACTTGCATACAAATATGAACAATTTGTGCGGAAGATATATAAATTCCTCGACATAAAAAGGTCAAAGCTACACTAAAAAAAAGATAAAACTTGTTTCTTTCCGTAGTGGAATTGATGCTTTAATGATTGAGATAATTATTTTTAGAGCTCTTTAACAGTAATACTTTTGACTATGTTTCAAGAAATGAAGGTAGAGTCTATAACATTCTTGAACTGACATAAAATACACGAATATTCAGGTTGTTTGGCTATTTGTAGACTACAATATAATATTCAGTATAGACAACCACACTGAGGTGTAAGATTTGTAGTAAATACTTTTTCTTTACCTTAATTTGTAGTTCCAAAACATGCTTGGGCGTTTATAGTTCTTTTCAGAACTTTAGAATTACAACTTGCATAATCCAAATATTATTCAAGCAATATTCCCTGACAATCCCTGTCAAACATCGCAGATTGTTTACGAACGCCGTTGAAAGTTTTGAAGCGGTCACAAGGTGTTCAAAAAGTTCATCACGTGGTACATAAAATCAACCCTGCGCATGCAAACTTGAAAAACAAATTTACCACTCTAGTGATTTCGATAATATGACTCGCTCCAGTTCCCCCAGTAAAATTTAAAACATGGTCAAAAGTTTAATTAGAATATAATATTTAGAAGTTTAATTAGAATATAATATTAACTGGTTCTAATTAGGTTTTGTTGCCAAAACGTTTTAGCATACAATTTGTAAGTACTTTAGGCAGGTATTTAGACAGAAAAAAGATTGTGTATGTTCAAAATTGCATTTGCAGGAGAATTGCAAAAATATGTTGTATTAATCTGTGTATTTTTCAACCCCATTTCTTTTTCTTATATGTGACGTTATCGATTTTTGTTTGACAAAATGGTGTTCATGCGACAATTGAGTAATTTTTCAACTTACCTTGATAAAATGTGACGGTTGTAACAGTGCCATTTTCATAGTTTATTTATAGGGTCCTTTAAAAATATGTGTTTATCTCGACTCTGATACCACATTCTGAAACTACATATAGTACCTGATCTTATATATGACATGAATTTTCTTAAATGAAAAAAGTCTTTAAAGGACATTGGCAACGAAAATTTTTATTGGCTATTTCAATCCTACTTGACAACCTAACTATGAAAATATTATCATTTCCTTCTCGAACATTTTACTCTAGGAGTAAAATGCATGCAAACTTTGTGTGTCGCCGCCATCTTGGAAAAAATGACCTTCGAAGGTCAACGAATTTTGTGACGTCATTAGATGGGTAGCACCAAAACTACAAGTGAGAATTCTATTGCGTGCGTGTCGTGTTAGCCAAAAATATGTCGTTTTGAGCGTTATACTGGCCAATACTTTTCGCAATCAAACAAGAGAAGCCTACACTATCAGATAAAAACATATCGAGCGACTGGGAAAGCAAGGAATGGCGCAATTTACAATACAGGTAATTGATCATAAAATATTGCATTAGTGTTTGCCTTGTTTACACTCGAATTACTGCGTTTATTTAACACGGACTAGGACTGATATACTATCAGAAATAGTGTTACAAATAAGGAACATACTTGGTAAAACGTTTCTGCCCTTCGTTTAGGCTCAAAGTGCACTACGCGTGGTAATACTCGGTATTGTTTTATAGTCATGAAATTGTGTTTACCCATCTAATGACGTCAGATAATGTATGCTGTGGCACAAGTGTTTATTTTCAAAATGGCGGACTACTGTTGAACTTTTTATTACATTTTCTCAACAACTAAATGCGACAAACCGGCCAAAATATAAAATTAAGTATTCCATAATCATACCTAATAGATATAAGCAATAAAAATTTTGGTTGCCAATGTCCTTTAAGCTGTAGTGTAACTTATTTTTCAGTTTCTTGTTTTTATGGTTTATTCCCGCGATATTTCAATTAGTTTGATATGTAAATGAGTGTGAATATGTCCACTAATTTATGACGTCATGTTGGTTGCAAGCTCTTCAAAATGGTTGAATATCACTGCTATCATCCAAGATGATAATTTCAAACTTCACTCACTGGTAAATGTGATGAAACACTGTAGAAAAACGTGAACAGATATCTACAGTTTTTAGAGTTAATAGATTTATAACCAGTGTAAGTTGAGCTTGCAACCAATGTGACGTCAAAAGTTAGCGGACATATTCACACTCATTTACATACCAAACAAACTGAAATATTTCGGGAACAAACCATGAAAACAAGAAACTGAAAATAAGTTACACTACAGCTTAAAGAGTTCTTTAATTTAAAAAAAATAAAAAATTTCATGTCATGTGCACTTTAAAGAGGAGGGATTAAACTATCAAAATCAATAGTCAAATCTCTTCTGGTGTGTTGGGTTGTGCAAACCCAGCCTTTACAGCCTTAGCTCCTCTACTATCTATGTTAAGCCAACCTGAAAGCTACTATTGTCTAAACAAAGGAAGACTCTATCACTAACTTTCATGATTTGCTTGCCAAACCTGTAGGCTACTGCACCCAGTACCGTTTATTAATTATTGTCCAAACCACTATGTTTGACCTTTTCATAAGTATAACAATGAAACTATAACATGGCCAGATATCCGAGTTAGCTTAATTTGCATATATCATTCTTACTTGGACTGCGAGTTGTAAAGACTGATTTAAAGAGTCTTTTAACAAATTAATCGTTTCATGTTTATCATTTCTTAACGCTCAGCAGAAATAATACCAAAAGTTAGCAAAACATGATCACAGGTTCGTCAGCAGGATCAACAACAATCCGCTACTAAAATGTCTGTCGAAATACCAAGCAATTTGGGTGAGTGATCGGTTTTAGAGTTGAACAACCTTTGCTGTGAACTCAAATTTTTCCTGGGTTGGCGGCAGACAGGTACTTACAAAGTGTCTACAGAATGAACGAGTACGTCGAAGCATGAATATGCCGCAATCCAACCTTCAAACTGTTCCAGCAAACAACACGTTATGTATTTCCAATGCAAGGGAAAGCTTCAGCACCGACCAACTGGGGTAGATTCCACAGATTGTTTCGCATTCTATCTCGTCATTCTTCAAAAGCAACATGCCACAACAACCGCAACTTGTGCAGATGAACAGACAACTATCCTGCCAATGCCACTTAAGACTAGAACAGCTTGGTCAATTCTTATTTTTAAGTTCCAGCAAGCTCCAGCAGCCGCCGACTTCATCCCATGAACCTGTTGCCTCAATCCAGCAAGCAGATGGGGGATTCATGCCAGAGATTCCAAGCAAATATGTTTCTCACATTGAAAGTGGTGAGGTTTTTGAGCTTGCTAAATTATTGCCAAAAATTTAAATAAGCTGAATGTTGGTTCCGATTATTCCAACATTTCAACAATTCCCTCTATGAGAATCTCATAAACACAGTGCAAGTCTCAAATGCTAACTAACATTGAAGAGTGGACAACTGCTTTCAACACATATATGTTAATCATTGTACAAAAATTTCCAAATTGTGCATCAGAACTATTAGTCTTTTACAGTACATGCAAACCATCCATCATGCGGCAAAAATGCATGGCGGTTTAGGCTGGTGCATATATGACCACAAATTTTGTTACAAAGCTGCTGTATGTCGAACATTGTCGTGGGCCAATATTGATCTGCAGTTATGGTTGCATATTTTCACTGCTAGCTCTACTCAGTTGCGGGAAGATTATTCCCTTTTTTCTAATGGACCCTCAAACAAAGCTGGGGCAGCGAGGAACAGAACGACCCAATTTCCCCTACACTCACCGTAACTGAATTGGCTGTTGGGGGAACGATCCTGGGCACCAATGTCTACAATCCTGTGGGGAAAATGATCACAATGAAGACCACCCTTGACAATCTGCCCGTAGCTCCGCAAAGACCAAACTGTTAGTTTAAAGACCAAACTGGTAGTCTAAACCTGTTAGTTTAAAGTCTAGTACATATAATAGCAGTAATTTGATACCTTTAGAAAATACTATAGTTGCACCAATTCAGATAAATTTCCAACCATTTTTCACCTCTTGTTGCCAAAAACGGGAGAATTGATCAATTCCTTTATCAAGAATGACGACTTTTCATTGCAGCACATAAAAATAGACAATGCTATTGCTGCTTTAATCCAATTATGCAGAGGCACTTATCTACCTAAAAACTGACATAGAGTCTGCTTTTCATCAATTTCCTGTTCATCCTGACGACTGGGAGTTATTAGGCATCCATTGGAGTAAGTCCTATTATTTTGACAAAGTGTTGCCATTTGGTTGATTTAAATTTGTGCCACACAAAAAAGTCTGCTACACTCCAAGAGCTCCAATCAAGTAATTGGAACATTAAATTTTGCATTGCCCTGGGTTGAGCTTTTCTGCAACGTATCATAAATCTAACACGGGGGATCTCCAAACCCCCTTTTGCAAATATGTAAAAATGCAGCAAATTTTTCTTAAAGTCTAATGGGACGAGTTTTGATTTCTCAACTCTCTTTCTGGGAAAATTCTACAAATCTGTCTTTTTATACAGATGCCTCCGGGACCCTTGGTTTTGGGGGATTTTCCACACCCAGTTGTTTTAGAGTAAAAGGTTGCCTCACCAAACACTTAACACAAAAAATATTAGCATTCATTGACAAGAGCTCTATGCTATTGTGGTAGCTTCCTACATCTGGGCACCTTTATGGGCTCAAAAACGAATTGTGTTTTACTGCGATAACCAGGCTGTGGTTTACATAATCAAATCCATTGTGGACTTAGTGTGTGGTGTAACCTCAGAAACACTGAAGTATAACTTTTATTTCAAAGCCTTACATGTGCCAGGTCATTATAATGACATTGCTGATTTTATCTCCCATTTTCAGCAAACCAGATTTCAGTGGCTAGCACCGCATGCAGACCATCAATCTCAACCTCTACCAGAGGAACTTTTTCAACTTGCTTCGTTAGCTCAAGGTACGATTAAAACTTATAGCAGTGGCGAAAAACAGTTTACAAATTTCTACTACCAATTTTATTTACATAAGCATGTGCCTCTTCTGCCAACAATGGAAAACATTCTGATTTTGCTGTTTTTCCTGCTAAGACAGTAAATCCAGACACCATCAAAGTCTATCTCGTCCCACTACACCATATGCATTTGGTTAACGACTACAACCTTCAAATCACCAAATTTCAATGCCTACACTATATCTTGTGAGGTATAAAGCGAGTAAAAGGACTGTCTACAAGAACATGCCTACCAATTACATTAGACCATTTAAAATTGTTTCACCGCATATAACACACTCACAGACATCACCAACACACGATGAAACCATGATTTGGGCAGCGATTTCCATAGCATTGCCTTGCTGTGGTCCTTATAATTCTTCAACAAATCATAACGAAAAACACGGGGATAACGAGGTTTTTCTGCAACTTACAAATAAAGCATCAAAAACCGATCCGTTTCGAGCCTGCGCCACGATCACCATTGGCAGCAATTCTGGTATATATTGGCCAATAAGGGCTCTTCAAACCTACCTTTCACATGTGTCAACAGACTATGCAGGACCATTGTTTTGCTATTCAAACAGTGTTCCTTTATCACATAGTTAATTTACTAAGGAACTACGAACACGTTTGGCCCAAGGTGGTTATCACACTGCTCAGAATGCGCAAATTTTCTCCCATTTGTGGGGGCTCATTTTGTCAGTGGAATTTCACGGTATACTTGGAAATACTGTGTCATATTTCGTCGCTTCCCATGTAAATAGCAAATTCATGAATAACACTGGAATAAACACAAATATGTGAATTTGCACTCTAGTCTTTTGAACATAACGATTGTAAAAAATTTCTGTGTGATCTATTAGCAATTTATTGTTATTTATTGTTATTTGTGCAACAGCAGTTGCCGTGGAATTAAAATTGTGTATCATTATATTGTTAACAGGCAAATAGTGTTTGAGATATAGCAACATTAGCAAATAAATACACTAAAATCTTGGTTAGCACACTAACTCTTACCACCTTTAATGCAATATTAGTCAACTTATAAGAGAACAAGACAAATCATGGTGAATTATTCAACTATATAACTTGTAAGACAGACAGACTCAATAAACCTTTATAGGTTTATTACAAATTTGGTTATCTGTTTGAATGTTGGGGAATTATCTAAGGAGATTAGCACCCAAATAAATATTTTGCTGAGACTCTGACCAACTAAACAACATATTGTCTCACTCTTAAAAATTTCTGAACAAACAATCCTAATATCCTACAACTGGTGTTTGCACCCAATGCCCAGCTTGAACCCCCCTCCCTGTTCTGTGTCTTTGGTACTGGTAGGTGACAACAGTCTAGTGCAAATATTGAGCGTCTTGACATTGATTGAGCTTTTTGTCGATGCCACTTTTACTCACAGCACCCCTGCTTTTCATCTGCTGTAGATGAGCATGCTGAGTACTTCAGCAATATTAATAATCTTCTGGCAACGTCTGTTTCTCAGCAGAGCATAGATACAGGTTTGTCGAAAGATGACTTGGTTAAACAGGAGGCCATTTTAAACTGTAACGATAGGAAGTGGTCATCATTTCTTTGTATTCTAGGTTTGTCATCTGTTTTACAGAGAAACATTTTTACATATTACCCTGACTGTGGGGCGCAAATGTTTAAACAGCTATTTAATTACATGGTCCAGCCACGCTTAATTGTGAAGAAAGGTTTCAATGACCTTCGTATTTTATTCTGTTATGACGGTACTGTGTCAGAAACCTTTCAGCCTAACCATTTTGTTGCTTTTTTTTTATACACAACAACAAAAATGGAAATCTGCAGCTGCCACACAGGTTTCCAAGAAACAAAAGTTAACTCCAATCCTTTCTAAGAAAGTGTCAAAAAAACTTGATAGCAACATTTCTTCTTTTTTTATTAAACCTACTGTTGACCCAACATTCCACAAAGCACCTAATGAGACATTTTCTTTTTCTGCAGCACTTCAAACTCATCAGAACACCAGTAAGCCTGATGCTGATATCACAGTTAATAAACCACAAGGCACTACTACTAGTACTCTGGAATGATGTTGCATCTACTTTTAGATATCATGCAGGGCATGGTATGGTATGGTATGGTATGGGAGGGGAGATGGGCTTGCATGCTTGTACTTTTCCTATACTAACTTATTTACTCTTGCAAATGTCAGGAATTGTACAACCTATAGAGGTTATTTTGGATGCCAACATCAAAAAGGAAATTGAGGACAACAGAAATAAACTTGCCTCCATTGTAGATACTGTTGTTTTTTGTGGCCGTTTGGGTTTGCCATTGCATGCTCATCGTGATGATGCTAAATACCACCCAGAGGTTGGCAACTACTCCACTGGGGGGGGGTTGGTAATTTTGTTGGCTGTGTGCACAGTGTCGATACCCAAAGCCGTAACAGGCACAGTCTGCCTTGCGTAAAGCACTGTGACGCACGGTCTTGGCACGCAAGACCATGCCTAAGCTAATTAGGCACACTGCTGCTTAAGTTCAGCGTGCCTAGTGTCATATCCTTGCAACCGATAACATTTGCCGACCGGCACAATTTTCAAACAGGATGACTGTGCGTAAGGTCGTGGTCACACTAGCGCTTGTGCTTGCAGATTAGCAAAGAATTAGCATGCTTGCTTGTGACGTCATTCAAGCAAGTGCTAGAATGTTAAGCAAACATGTTGCGGTCACACTGAAAAAGTACTTATGCTTGCTTAAGATTGTAATGACAGATAAAGTGTCTTTGGTTTTTGGTAAATTTGCAATTCTTCATTAATATAAATATATATAGACTTAAAATGGACAGAGATTCTTTGCTTTTATGTCATTTTATGTATCAGCGTTTTCGCGATGCTATAAAAAACGAAGAGCGCTTAATGGCAGAAGGCGACGAATGTACCTTTTGCTTCACCAAAGGAATCAAAACATGCGACACTTGCAGATGCTTCAGACGACAACAACATTGCTTCTTTTCGTGATTGAATCGCAGAACGAATTGAGGAAAGCCAGGAAAGGTATCTTGGGCATATGGATACGATGACGCACTTTCATTGTGTTGCGTTTGGTTCGGAGTTGAATCCATTCTGATTTTTTAGAATATGAAAGATAGTGCGACTGCCTGCAATATGTGTGCCTGTGTTTCTAAATTGGCGCATTAATGCAATTTTTGGTCTTATCAGGATTTCTAATGGATACTTAAACAGGGAGCGTTTTTATTGGTCAGACAGTAGGGATGGTGACTGAACTATGCTAGAATGCATATCTCAAGAGGATTTACACAACGTGTCTACTTTCCCTTGCTTTGAGAGAAACTTTTATAGTTCTCTTTGGTCTCGAATGAATGTTCAGTTCTGGATTAGCATGTTCTTTAGTTTTTATTCCGGTTTCTTTTTCTGGAGGTAGAGGAACCAATTGTACTCTATTTCTTTTTATAGTTTCAGTAGGTGTTTCCACTTCATATTGTCTCGTGTTTTCAGTTTCTTGTCGTATCACTCCAGGTTCATGGTGGGTGCTGATCTGAACTTCTGTCCGAGGACTTAAGGGTTGTAATGGTTTGGCAAGATGTTTACTATCAAAATACTGTTTTTGCTTTAACTTGCTAGCATCTTCTTTCTGTTGCAACTTTTGAACATCAACACACTTTGGATGCAAAAGGGTGTGGAAGATTGGAACCGTAGTGCGTAGTTTTCTTCCCATCAGTAGTTCGACTGTGGATATTTTGGACTACTATTCTTGATCTCGAAGCCCCACTCACTTGCAAAGAGCGTATACTCAGCACTGTTGAACGGAGGACCATTGTCTGATACCACTCTTTCCGGTATTCCGAATCTAGCAAACACCATTTGTAATTTATCACACAACGTGCAATTGCGTAAAATGTCAAAAGACTTATCGTCCTTCGATGTGTGCGCCATTTCGTTCGATGCATAAGCGAGCGCAGATTTCCATATTCCCGCGGCAGTGAATGCACTTCTGCAGTGATTCTGTTGCAGAGGTCCTCCAAATTCTGTGGAGGTGTTTGATACATGTGTGATTTGAGATACCCCCACAAAAAAGTTGCAAGGGGTAAGATCAGGAGACCTAGCAGGTCATTCTCTTGGTTGTCCAACGGCAATGACTCTGTTTCTGAAAAGTTCCTGAGCTGGTCACGACAATAATTCAACGATGAGCAGGGGTGCCATCCTGAGCCCACCAAACTCTTTGAAACACTCTGTTGGCTTGGACTTCATAATGTTGTGACAAGATGTGGACAATGTTGTTGTTCAGCATATCCAAGTAGGCTTCTCTGTTTACATTCCCAGGAAAGAATAATGGACCAACAACCTCACCATTACCGCACAAGCCCACCCAGACCATCCACTTTTGCCGTGAATCACGCCGGTGGTAGTTATGCATTGGTGGGTACCCACGCGGTGCGTATTCCAGGACATTTCGTGATGATACACATGCATTCATTTGAAATGAAGCTTCATCTCCAATGACAAGATTAGCCCAGAAGTCCGCATTTCTTTCCACCAACCATGTGCAAAATGCTAAACGTCGTGCTGGATCTTGCGGGAAACGTTCATGTCATATGTTCATTGTGTATGGATGCCATTTCAGATCCAATTTTGTTATTCTGTTGAATGTTGCCCTTGAAAGTCCTGTTGGGTTACATCTAGTGCTGATTCTTGGATCATGTCGAAGTGCTTCACTTACTGTGTTGATATTATTTAACAACCTAGCTGTTCGTCGTCTTCCAGAATGTCCAACATTTCTGTTTAGACTTGTCCCTTGTGTTGAATACTTAGGAAAATTCCTTAAAATCGTCCTGGCGCATGGAGGCTGCCGGTCCAGAAACCTCTCTTCAAAACGCTCAATTACCCGCCCTGGACTTCTTGTCTTATTGTACTCTAGCAACACAAATGTGCGTTGCTCGGTTGTGAATTGCACACCAACCATGTTGTGTTTAAATCAAGTAATTGTGCGATATTGAATATTTGACAGAGTTTATTTGAATGCATTCCTTTTAATACATTTGGGATTTCATAAAATTTTCGCACCAATTAGAAACGTTTATTACATTGTTGTTTATTGCAGAAAACACCCTGAAATTAACAGGAGTGCTAGCCAAATTCTTCACTTTTAGTTTCATCTCTATTAACAAATTTTTATTTTCATTTTAGTCAGAGTTTTAAGACGCACTGTAGACAGGGAATATTTGGAAACTAGACGACAGGAAAACATTGTTCAAAATCCAGCTGCTGAACGTATTCACTTGTCAATCGAACAGAGTTTACCTTAACTATAAACTATTAAATGCCAATGAAGAGAACATAGCCACAAAAATTATAATAATATATGATCAATATAATATAAATTTTGAAAACAATATACAGTACAATATAATAGTTCGTAATTACTTTTTAGTTATAGTTATTGTAAAATATAATAAAAAAGTTTATAAAATATCTATTAAATGTTTGTATACAAAGTTCATCATCTACTTTTTCAACAATTCTGCCATTCGCAAGAAAAACTCTTGGTCTCTTCTCTGTGACTCTTTGTCCAGTTTTCATTGATCAGCTTCCAACTTTACAAGTAATTCTTCCGTTCGCTTTTGCATGTTCTCCATCATTTTCATTTGGGAGTTTTGCATCCCCACCAGCTTTTCTGTGAGGTCTATCATTGCACTTGCAGTGGTTACTCTACCTTTTTTTGCTTTTTTATTTTGTTTTCCTTTTTCAGACTGTTTTTGTTTAGCTGTGCATTGCTCGACTGTAGTTGGTGAACTTTCTGAATCAGACCCACCCATTATTTCTGAGTCGGATTCCTGGTCCGATTCGTCTGAATCATTGGATGGATCTTGCCAACTAGAGGAGGAATCTCTGATTTGCCCACTCTGGATTACTCTTGGCATCGTCACAACGGCCCACATACCAAGAACCTCATCAAACGAATCATAGTATGGACTGCTTTGGGGTGGCCGTCCAGTCTGGTTGTTGTTGGTCTTCGCTTCTTTATATGCCTTTTTGAGGTTTCCAATTTTGTCTTTACATTGTTTAACAGTCTTTCTACTACCCGCCTTGTTTACTTCGGCAACGATTTTGTGCCAAGTTTTGGT